GATCCTGAACCCCGTGTCTCACACGAAACCGTTGAGAAAATAAAGGTCGAGGTATAGGTTTTTAAGATCATTTAAAGAAAAAAAAGCGCAGCATTTTTTTTTCGTCTAAACTTCTCATCATCATGTACACGAGCACTTATTTGAGAAGCCGACACGGAGCATTCCTTCATAGATTCCTCTTTTTACTATGACTATTAGTGTGATATTTTCAGAAACCGAATGGAGAGGGGGCATGACCCCCTTGACCCCCCCTCTAAATCCGCCGCTGATTTTGATGCTCTTTGATGAATTCAAAATCACCGCTAATTGTCAAAGAAAGAAAAAAATTCTCTCAACTTATTAATTCACTTTTCAGATAAAATTAAAACCAAATCATACGCATGAAATGTATTAGTATTACTGATTTAGTTCTCAACACTTAAGCTGCATGCAACATTTGAGTCTCTTATTAAAGGTTTTACTAGATGACCGCTGACCCCAATCAAATAAACAAATGAGCAACATCGAGAGAAATATCATTTTTACCATGCATTTCTTACAATATCGAATTGTATCACTTTTCAATCACACTTTTGGATAGAGTTCGCATTACATGTGTTACAATGATCTTGATCCCCAATAAATGGCGTTGGCATCTTATTCTAAACAATAACGAATTTTACTAAATAGCGATTGTCAAAGCGATTGACAAGTTAGTCATCGGGACATTGAAAAGACCCATAATATTTGGCAACACCTTTATTTCAGATTTTCTGCGCACTAGAGTCTTTTAATATACATGTATGAAGCAGTTTAGGTGCAATTTAATAAATCTAAAATTCTCAAGAAGAAAAAACTGTTGTAAATATTGATTTTTTAAAATATATTTTTAATTTTGTTTCATTTTTCCACCACTTAATTAATCTGACATGGTATTATTTTTTAATATTTTTCAATAAATTATCTGACATTTTTGCCTGAACTCAGTTTTGCAGTTACACTTTTTTAATATGGATGTATGTGTAAAATCCTCATGGATACGCGTCGGTTCTTATGTAAAGTGCTGATAAAAAAAAGCTATTTTAGCCGTGACATAATGTATTACATTAATGTATGATATTTATTAATGGGTGTTGCATCACTGGGGGGGGGGGGTGCACGTCTGTTGCTGAGAGTAGCAGACCAACAGTTCAGCCCCACGAGACATTTAGGGCATTTCGATGAGATGTAAGCATACACTTGTCACAAACTGTAAAATTACTCACATGGCATATTTCCACAACGCCACCTGTGTCACCCAGCGACTGATGAAGATGGCCGACCGCCCATCGAAATTTCTCATGTGAGTCATTTTGCAGTTTGTGACAAAAGAGCGCATTCGGAGCAGCAGATTAACAGATTCGCGGGTCAAATGTGGCCGACCCACTTGAATGCTTGTTGCGTAGTCACCCCGGGGAAACTATTCAGTGTTTTATCGGGAATTTAGCGCAAGCTCTCTAGTGGGTCGCCATATTTGATCCACGGATTTGTTAGTTCTCTGTTCTGAATGCTCTCTGTAAAGCCTTTAGGTCCCAACTACGTTTTGGACGCACGGTTTTTAGGTTCCTTGCGTCCGTCTAGGACGTAGCTAGATCGCAGGGAAGGAATCAAGTAAAGCCTAGGTCCTAACCGAACGTACGGGCTGCTACGTGTGGTCTACGGCCAAAAAAAATGGGAAAAACGTGGGAGTTCGTGCGTGAGGAGCACGTCCATCGTGCGCATTTGGAGGACGCAAATAGCACGCATAAACTTTTCGACATGATCAATAGCCGCTACGTGCGATCTAGCTACGTCCTAGCCGGACGTAAGGAACCAAAAAAAAAAAGAGCGTCCAAAACGTAGTTGGGACCTAGGCTTAAGGGCAGTTTTTACCTCTGTCAACCACCAAAGTAATGATACTTTATGAACATACAGAGTGAACCAAAAAGGTGTTTCCACTTTTGATAAAGAAGCATTTTCTATCGAAATGAAAATTTAACAATTTTTGCATACCTGTTTTACAGACATGTAAGTTTTGTGTGGTGTAAGTTTATTGCTCGAATACCATATTTTGCGAGAACAGCTCAATAATTTATAATGTGCTCCATCCAAGCTTCTATGCGCCGAATCACTGTGGCTACTCGCACACTTAAGTTTGTATTGACAGTGTTATACATTTTGTGCGGAATTCTCCAGATCTCCGTTAGAATGTTATTTTTGAGAGCATCAGTAGTTTAATGTTTGTTGACAAAGACATTGTCTTTTAAGTATCCCCTCCAAAACCAATTTAATGGCCAAAGGTCTCCCGTGGCACGAACCGACCTTGGTCAGCACATTCTATAACTGGCCTTTAAAGGGATAATAACTCTTCGAATGATATCTATATTTCACAATAAAAAACATTGTGAACAACTCATAGAAATATAATATATTCTATTTTACCACAAAAATGGCATTTATAGCTATTATTCTGACATCTGAGCTTGTCTTTAGACCACGTGACCTCCATTAATGGCTATAATCCGTTATAATCTCTTAAGAGATTTTAACAAAAAAAAAAACTTTATAGAAAAAAACAGGGACTAACTTTGAATGTAAAAATGGATTCATTAACCATTGGCAAGTATGGGAGAATTGTTGCTTACTCCAGGAAAATTCGTTTTTTTTTTTTTTTTTTTTTGCCAAAACGAAGAGTTATTATCCCTTTAAGATCGCTATCTATCAGGTGCTCTCAAAAAAAATGTCGACAAGTTTCATTTTTTATACAACTCGTTTTGAATTCTTTTGGAGTACAAGGGCATGGATATGATGAAATAAAATCCACCACTAGTGCACGAACGAACTGCAAATAATAAATTGTGAACCAATAAGCATCGCAAGTTTAAGTACTCCTTTTTCCCGAAAATAAACAATTTGATGATGATTCTCTTTTTTTATCATTTTGCAGTGTTAACGCCTGTGATAGAACCCGTGGCTTTCATTATTTTATTTTTACGATGCCAATTTACATGTAGTCTTTGGGTTGAGCTTTTTCCTCGAGTAAGCGTAATTTTGGAATATGAGAACTAGTCTAAAATTATACAAATGCAAATAAAAAATTGTTTCGGTTAATCTGCCACTTGAGTGAGGTTGTAAGCATGTGGGTTTATCGGCGTGTGTTTTAGTTTTACATGTATCAAAGTCTACGGGACAATATGTCGGGAATACCTTTTTTAAAGGGCTGTAAAAAAAAATTCGTTTTCTTCCTAACCAGGTTTGCAGTGCATCTTGTGATTGACAGGCGACAATCAGATTTTTCCAGTTTACATCAACTTTGACGGGAGCTGTCAAGTGCACACGACTTTGATTGGCAGTTTTTATAAACAAACGACAACCACACTCATTAAACAGTTTATCACTATATAGCTGCTGAGCACGTAAAACTCCAACGCTTACAACCTTTGATTGACAAGGTGTCAATCAAAGTCCTTCAGTTGATAGAGGCTGTCAAGTGCGGGCAGATTGATTGACAGTTACATGTATATAAACAAACGTCAATAATCACGCAGATACGGGAAATATGCAATAGAGCGTGTTATTATCTGTAGTGCCAGCAAATACACTATTAGCGGTAGAATAATTTTTTCTGCATTAGTCGTGGAATAAAGACAATCTCTCATTTGCAGCTGTAAGAATCCACTTATATTTTCAGAGTACATGTAAGGTAATTAAACCTGCTAATTTATTTTCTCGGGTCCACCGAATTTTGATTAAAATAGTTGATCGGTCTAATGATCTAAGTGAATCTTATTGCTAATGACTCTTATCTTAGATCGTCTAAGGTATGAAGCATACGTATTGTGAAAAAATACCCATTGACGGATATTTAAGCATGCCGCAATATACAAGTGTAGAGAGCATTTTACACCCCTCCATACAAAATGTGAGATGTGGTGCCACAAATTAAAAGAATAATCTAGTAAATGTAATTCACTTAAGGTTTTCTTTTTTTATCCACCATTTTTACCAGTTTTTTTTTACCAGTTTGTTCTCTGTCACATTTTCTTTTCATTCTATTCTTGGGACAGAAAAAAATATTTATATAGTTCACTGAGATAACATTATTACTGTATCAATTATAACAACAACCAAGACATTGATAGATGTCATTTATTAGCTATATAAAATACTGAGACAGTTATCACATAACGAGTTATGTACTATACCTTATACCTCTTGTATTCATAGTTCAGACTTTCTTATAAAAATAACAAGAAAGCAAATTGCTGCCTTCAATATAAAAAATGTAATATGGTAAATGGTTGATTTGTCTCTGTACATTTGGAGGGATTGACACATTGCATGTTTTTTTTTTCTCTCCAGGAATATTAGATACACAACAAAGTCATCACTTTCTGATCTTGTACAACAATGAGCCAAGAAAGCAAAAGACAAATATAAAATTATTAACATGTAACAAAATAAAATACAACAAATAAATCACCCAAGCATTTACACCTTTAAATGTTCTTTTGCATGTTTTGAGCAATTTCTCTTCCACAAAATTGCCAAGTTCTCATTATTATTACTTTTGAGCTCATGCAAACTTTTCGATTATTGCAATATATAAATAACAACAGCAAAATAAAAATGTACTTTTTATAAAGTATCACATCTTTTCAGTCTTGTTAGTATGCACAGCTGCAATCCATTACTGAAAAGTTTGTTAATATTTTTTTTTTAATATTCATGATTTTTTAAATTGATTTCTTTGCCATAAGGGTCCATCTATAAAAGTCCAGTTTTTTTTTTTTGTTTTTTTTTTTTTACATAAAAATAATATATTATTTCTTCCTCTCTTCTATAACCCTTATTTAAATGTCTTCAAAGAAGTCACATGGTGTATTCATTCTGATTTTTCTTCAATGAATGTGCACATGAAAATGGTGTCAAGCTACACCAGTTCTATCTTTCTTCCTTATTGCTTTTTTCTCACCCACCATAAAGAGCCATGTTCTTCCGACTTCAAACATTTACACTTGTACTTTAAACTGAATCATTTCTCCACACCTGTAAACTTTCATTGTGCACTTTAATTTCTTTTCATTCAAATTCAAGACAAGAGGCTCCACCTGCACACCATCATTTTTCTCCCTTTTTCCCTCTCTCCAAGTTCAGGACAGGTGGTGCCGTCTGGGGTCGTTTCATAGCTGGGAAGTATTGCCGAAACCACTCCTCAAAGTCCTCTACGGTCATCTCCACGATGCGCTCACGACAAAACTCGATTGCCGCGCTGACATCTGGGTTGCAAATCTCCCAGTCTCGAAGACGCTCTAGGATCTTTAGGAAGTGTAAAACTGTCTGCTTGCCACTGTCAATCTGAAATTATTAAGAGGTGATAATTTTGATGAATTCTTACACATTCAGTGAAGAACATCTTTTAGTGTCTCTCCTTTAATGATATTAAACACCAGTCATGTGATCAAAGCTTTTTTAAGAAGAGTTATTAATAAACCATAACGCCTCATAGGAAGAAAAAGATATTTAGTCTCTGTAAAAGATATTTGCTCTTTTTATCTTCTAATATGTTTTATTGTGTAAAAAAATCAACCAAGATCTAAGTTATTTCACTCTTTTGTTGCTTTTGTCCCTTAAAAAGACAAATCGCATCACACAGGTTATTACAATGATGGTAACCATGACGACAGTGACACAAGTGACCAGCACAGCCCTTGTGATTATTGCTTTTACTTTCTAGGCACTTAGTCCAGTTTTAGATATTTTTCAGTAACAGTAGGAAAAGTAGGGGGTTTTCTTTCAAAGTAGGAGGGTACTACCCAATAAGCATGTTATTATCATTGTTTAAATTATCACTGGATTCAAAAAAAAAAATTTGTTGTACCCCCAATCTTAGTGGTCAGACATAGTCCTCCAAATTATAGCCGACTAGATAGTGGAAGACGTACTGGATCTAATAATGACTGACTAGATAACAGATTCAAAGATTCAGAAATTTACTTAACGTACTACAACTGGATTGGTTAGAACCCTGTATAATACGACTCATAATATGTACACCCATACTTTTAAGGGAGTGAAAAGTCAAACCATACATTATTCTCGCAGTATAAAAAAAGTATAAGTGAACTGTTGCATGACTGGCACATATATTGAAGCAAAAATAAATAAAATGATGTAAAACGGACATTTAACAAAATAGCAGTGACATAAATCCACAAATAATATAAGAAAGTTATTTTTATAAAAATCAAAACACACCAGACATTGCATTTGTTTACACAACCAAAACCATGCTAAAACTTCAAAAAACAAATACAGACTGAGACAGACGACACCAATTAATAAAAGAACATTATAAAAAGTCTTACAGCACCCAATATCAATATTTCAAATAAACGAAACATATAAAACAAGACAAACAATGCTTATTTTAAAAATTAAAAACCCAGACACAAAGGCACATCCAATATTACTACCTTGTGTGAGATTTCATGGTACTGCAGCAAGGACAAATAATAAATTATAAGTCACCATATTAATTCTAAATTCTAAATCATTGTCATTGATACTTGTCAAAAATTTCATAACATTATTTATTCCAATACTTCTATCTTCCTTGCACTATTAAGTTACTTAGCAATACAAATTTGTTAGCATAGCAATGTAAATTCTACAATCCACTAAAAGACTAAATACAAACACAAATGTTAGCATAAAATGTCAATTCTATAATTAACCTTAGAACTAAATACAAAACATATTTCATTTTAATACCAAATATAAGGGCCCTCACCTTTCCATATTTCTCTAGCTTGTCCATGATTTTCCTGAAGTACATCCTGTCTTTGGGGCTGAGGTCAAGACTGTCCACAGTAGTCAGCAGGTCACTGTACCTACAGTAACAGTAGCAGTAACAGTGACTATATTGTCACAGTGACACTTTTATAACATCAAACTGGTTAACAGGTCAATATACCTACAGCAACAATGACAGTGTTGTCATGACATTGTAATTACATCACAGTGACAATAAGGATGACAGTAACAATATCATGACAAAAAAAAAAAAACATAACAAATGCACTACATTTAAATCACTACTGTAAAAGCAATCATGACTTCAGAATATCAATGACAAAAACATCACAAAGTCAATAGCAATTATATCACTTTACCTTTAGTGACAATAACAATGATATCTCAATGCCAACAATGACATCATAGTGACAATAACAATGATATCATAATACCAGTAACAGTGACATCACAATGCCAACAATGACATCATAGTGACAATAACAATGATATCATAATACCAGTAACAGTGACATCACAATGCCAACAATGACATCACAGTGACAATAACAATGACATCATAATAACAGTAACAGTGACAACACAATGCCAACAATGACATCATAGTGACATTAACAATAATATCATAAGGCCAGTAACAGTGACATCACAATGTCAACAATAACTCCATTGTGACAATAACAATGATATCATAATGACAGTAACAGTGACATCATAATGCCAACAATGACATCAGTGTCAATAACAACAATATCTTAATGATAGTAACAGTGACATCATGCAGATAGTATAAGGTCAGTTTGCAGTCTAATATTTATATTCAGCTTAAAATCAAATGAGTAGTCAAAATTTAAATAACCTACCATTGACAATGTATTGGTTTTTGTTTGAGTCTCTCTGCTCTCTTGGCGTCTTTGTCGGCCAGTGCTTCCTTCATCTGCTTCAGGGCGTCGTGAACTGTATTTTTAGAGAATGGAATGGCCAGAAACTTTTGCTGACATGTGGCATACTTTTGTCTGAAAACATAAGTAAATTTGGATGAATTAGGTCTTTCAAAATAAACATTGTATAAATCTAATTTCATTACTTAACTTCAGTCACAAAAATGACTCTGTTTTAAAAATTAGTTTTTAAGGGTCTGTTTCAAAAATTAGTTTTTAATATTGTTAGTCTAAGATCTGGATTGAAATGATTTGGCCTTTAAAACTTAAGACAGAACAGTAGAATATTCCATACACACAATTCAAGATAAATCACTGGCTGTCTACAGTATACATCATAAAATGCTGCCAACATTCTTGGTAAAAATAAATTATAATAAAACAGTAGAATTTGCATGTGAAAATACAAGTTGGAACAGACTATCCGTTTAATTTAATGTGAGCTCTTTTATACAGTTTCGCACATTCAGTTCTTTATCTTTAGACAGGATCAAGATTTCCAGATTGAGTACATAACAAACCAATGTCCAGTTTATGCAAGGTTGTTGCCATTAGATCTACTCTAACAGTTATAGTTCACCGTATTAGTTACAGTAGTAGAAATACTTTTTTTTTAATTTCAAATCAATGTCAGTACAAATAACCTACTTTTCTATCTGCTCCAATTTTTCGTGGAGTTCCAGAGCTTTCTCCTCGGCAGTTTCTGCAAACTTCAGTTTCATGTCTGTTGCCATGTGGCTCCATCTATTGCTGGGAAGATTGGCCTGCAGCTCCAACAACGCTGGAGAGCTGAAAATGTGAATGGAAAATGAAATTAAAACAGCCCAAACACAGAACACACAGATGTTTTCTACTCTAATCCATTCAGTGACTTAACAAGCTTAAACATAAGTCAGTCTCATAAAAGCAAAATAAAAATTAGGGCATGCATTAAACTTGACATTAACAATGGCACTATTTTTAGGCAGCTGTACAGTTGCTAGGGTTCATATCTGGAATTAAGTAAGACTGCATACTTAATTCTTAGGACTGTAACTAAGGTTCAACTGTCAGTTCAATTTTGGACGCACAAGAAAATAGACTGAATTTATCATCAACGTGTCATCAAAAGAGTTAACCACAAATTGACGTGAGGACTAGCTAAACATACAAACCTTTTAGGTCTGAGTAAGTGCACAGCATTTGCCCTGAGAGTTCTGGCAGACATGGTCCTCTCGTAGATACTGTCTGCTATCTTGTTTTCTTCTCCAGACTGAAAAGTTACAAAAAAAATATTATATGATGATTTTTTTGGAACAAGAAACATTTTCCCATAAATGATTTTTACAGAGCATTATTGTTCTTATCTCTGAACGTAAAAATATAATTTGAAATTTGATTTTCTCGGATAACATTTTATGCAGATTTGTTTTCCGATCCATTAAAAGTATCATTATAATCAGGATAAATGTTTTATTTTCAATCAACCATCAGATTAAAGTGACTGGCACTGAAATTACAGGTTGACTCAGAAGTGAGATCCACAGTTTGGTTTATAATATATAGTCTGATAAAAAAAATATGTCTGTTTTAGATTTGTATCCTTGAGTATATCAAGGACAAAATTCAACCAGTTATACTCACAGCATGCTCTGCTTTCTTGGAAGTTTTTCTGGGAGATTTTACCCCTGACTCCCCTTCAGAAGACCTACAGAAACAAATGGATACTTCAACAATACTTCATCACGCAATATTCTTTTTTTAAACAATTTTTCGATGAATTTGAATAAATAAGTAAGACCATTTATGGAAATTCCTTGCCAATCTGACCTTCAAAAGGAAGAGAGAGAATTCAAAGAAAGAAACTGACCTCTTTTTATCCTTTTTCTTTTTCTTCTTCTCTGGCTGACTAGGTGGTGGTGGCGGTGGCAGATCTCCCGAGTTTCCCTGCTCTGCTTTCTCACGCTCGGCTTTCTCCTTGCTCAGTGACTCATAGTAATCATCCAGAAAGCTGAAGATTCCTAGAAACATTTTAAATTATTAATTAAGAATAGTCTGAATTCAAATCATAATTATACATCAAGAGTAACCAAATAACTGATAATAAAAGCAGTTAATGAGAAATGGGAATTAAGCCAAAATATACCAGGCCCCAGTTTCACAATAAAAATTCAAGTCAGTTCTCTGGCTTAGTTGACTAGGATAACCATGAGAGTGCTATAACACTGCTCCTGATAGGTTAAGATGTCCACATGTGACCATGTAACCTTGGTAATTAAGTTCTTAGCCAGAAAACTTTTTTTTTTGTGAAACCAGGCAAGGATCAACCTGGCAAGGATTACCTTTAGTGTCAGCTGGCTCCTCCTCTTCTTCAATTGGAGGTGTGAAAGGGGCCTCTGTGTCTAAATGCTGTCCGTCGTTCCTGGCGCTGTTCAGCTGAGTCTCGCTACCTTTGGGACTGCCGCTGGCCGCAGAGTTGGACTCTCTTGATCTCGGTGGGAAATGACTGCTTATGACTGTGGATGATGTCTTCCGCCTTGGATTGCTTCCACGTAGGAGTCTGCGAGCCTGTGATTATTATATTATTATTATATTATATTATTATTATTATATATTATATTATTATTATATGTCATTAGTTTGTCAGCGGGACTATAGATGGCAGTACAATCTGGATTGTTAAATAGATAATCATGCACATGGAGTTTTCAGTCAAAATTTAAATAAAACTAATGTACACTAAAAGATGCTTAAAACTATGTAATGTTTTCTACTGTGAGAGTGACTGCAACTGATACAGTACATGTAACATCCATATTATTCAACAAACCATATACAAACAACTCAAATAAAAGAAAAAAATGATTTTTTTTTTAATTTTGCAGATTATTTGACTTTTAATTCAAAGTACCAATGAAAATTATAATCCCATGGAAGAGCTAGGTCTAACTGTTTCAACTATCTGACAAGTGAATATGAGAAAGAATTTGGAGAAGAAGAAGAGTTTGTCTTCCACAACAAATGGACACAAAAAAAAGGGAAAGTGTTGGGAAGGAGTGTGGGACTTGAAACATATTCTCATTATCAGAACACTGCCAATCTCACAAACTAAACTAAAATTGTCCCCATTTAGAATGAGACTAGGTGTTGTTATCACGGAGGCACAGGGTCTGGATGGGTCAAGGAACATTAAATGGTGAAGATCCCTCACACAGTGATGGTTTTAACAAGAAATGACAGAGAAATAACCAATCAAAAAACAGTAAACTAAGGCTTCGTTCACATGCAATGTCTATTTTCTAATTTTTATTTTCTATTTGCGCTATCTTATGATCACGGTCTGTGCCCTGAATATCCCGCCGCGTAATTACTGGCAGCGTGAGCCAGTTACTTATAGTAACTTATAGTAACTGGCTCGCGCTGCCAGTAATTACGCCGCGGGATATTCAGGCCACAGACCGTGATCATAAGACATACCGCAAATAGAAAATAGAATTTAGAAAATAGACATTGCATGTGAACGAAGCCTTATAGACAGAAGATCATATAAAAGTTCCAAAAGAAGGGCAAAAAAGAAAAGAATGTTAAGTAAAAGAGCTGGTTAAAGAGAAATTGACGTAAAATTTTAAGAAAGAAAAATAAGGCAATAACATAAATATAGTAAAAGATAATACAGAGATGGAAAAACAACTAAACAAGAAATACATAATATATGAATCGTTTTTTTTTTATGGAAGGAGTGGGGGAGGGGCGTGGATTGGTAGAAACACGATAATTTTCACAATACATTCAGAGGGGGTATCAACAACAACAGCAACAGCAACAAGGGTCTGAAATATCCACTCAGCATTCCAAGTTTTCTACCTTTCCCACCATCATCATGGTTCCCACCTGACACATAGCAAGACAAGTCATTAGTTTGTCAGCAGGAGTATAGATGGCAGCACAAGCTGGAGTCTGTTATTTACCATCACATTATTATTGAAGCCATCTCTCACAAAATTCAAAACAAAATGAATATTCACTAAAAAGATGCTTTGCAAATTACAAATTCAAAATTTACAAAATCTGGACAAAAATTATGATGTTTGTATTTACCAAAATAATGCTCTGAGATAACAAAAAGCCAAAAATTTAAAAATTCTAACAAGCAATTTGGGTAGAAATCAGAGAGAATGTTTTTGTGATTATTTGCAAATGATAAATGAGGTATATGAATTTTGTGAGAGCATCAATGAATACACACAAGCTAAATATACTCCGTATATGACTCGTCTCCAGACAATTTTGCACCACAACATAAAAACAATAATAAAAAACTTGCCAACAATATTAACTTCCCAAAAAACATGTTTAAATACAACACTGTGAAGTGGAGTTAGAAACAAGATATTGCACAGTATTACATTACCAGACAATTACCACTGTAGTTTACATACAATAAAATGTATGATGTTGAATTATTGTACACAAATGCTATTACAAACAGTTAAGCTGTGAACAACCAGGCTCAGATGTTTACAGAATTGACTCAGTCAGTAGTTTAAAGCACAATCAGCCAATAACTAAGCATATTGTTACAGTTACAGCAACCACCCCAAAGGCAAGTTGGAAACTTGTTAGCGACTTGCTTTGCACCACTTTAATTGACACTGATTATCATTTACCAGTATACCAAATGAATTTGAGCCCAATACCCTAACGAAAAAGTCCTATAGGATCCTATAAGATCCTAAAGGATCCTATAAGATTTTGGGCCAATTTCCTATAGAATCCTATAGGATCTTATAGTATCCTATAGGACTCTTTCGTAAGGGTATGCAGTAATTTTCCGGAGGTTCCTTGTAGCATGAGTCATGTGACCCTTACGTGTTAGTCAGGTGACAGTCATGTGAGAAGTCTTACCTTGGTAGGTGTCTTGGTGGCTACAAAGCTGGAGTATTCACTCTCAATCCTGTCTTTTCTCTCCAGCTTCTTTATGTGGATCTTAGCGCCACCTATTGTGCTATAAAAAAAGTTAAAACATCGGTGAGGGTATGTTTTATTCTCTAATGATGGGTATTGGTGATACTAGTAGAAGCTGTTACATATTAAAGATAAGTCATCATATTTCAGCTTAATTGAGGTTTTTGCCAGGGGGAAAGCAAATATAGGTCTAATATCAAAAAGCTTTATCAAATTGTTTTAGGCATGCTTTCTATTCTTTTCAGACTGCAATATATTTTGATGTTCATGTAGCTCAATTCAATCTTATTTCAGAGGTGCTTTGTAAAACATATCATAACTAATGTTATTCACGTAAATGTTGACCTACTTGAGATTCCAGCATGTGTTTATGTTTTCCATTGCGTAGTTTGTGTCTATGTTCATTGCATCTAAGATCCAGTTCAGTGCACACAGTTGTCTGAACAGGGCCTCCCTGAATAGGAAAATAAATTATTAAGCAAAATCCTTTCTCTTTATAATATCAGATCAATATCATTCATAATGGCACAACTCACAAATTATTAGCTTCTTTTATGCAGTCATAGACAATTGTATCATTCAACATCTTCTTACTCTGTATGTGTGACAATGATTTTTCAATCAATTCTTACGAAATAGCAATTGTAACAATGGAACAAATAGTGTAAAACATCAACTAAATGCCAAACTGAATCATAGCTGCATATATATGGTTGAAACAGGATAAAACAGGTGCTTTCTTAGCTTATTTTTTCTATATTATATTCCTTGGGGAGGAATTTTTATGAAGACTTACTTGGAGTGTGTGGTCAACGTTGTTGGACCGTCATTGAAGATGTTAGTGTGTGTGGCAGTGTAGGGTCTCGGAGGCAGAGTCTTGGACGACTTCTTACTGGCCGCAGACTTGGCACCCGTCCTGGCTGATCGCGGGCTAGGATGCCTGAGAATAACAATAACGAAATATAATAAATAGATATATCTACTTACAGGGTCTTAGTTTGGAACTTTGGCATAAAAATAGACCTGTTAAGACATGTTTTTTTACTTGAATATAAAAGCTAGACATACCAACTTTTTACTTTTTAAAAAGTTTTACTATAATTTAATAGTTACTTAAGACTTTAAAAAACACCAAAATGTTATCTTTACATTTAATTTAAAGTTTGCAAATTGGCACATGTAGGTCTATACATACAAATTCCTTTACGAATTACATTAAAAGCTGCAATGCTACAAGAACTAAAAACGAGACATTTATCAATTTGTCCATATAAATACAACTCCGTACAATCTATCAGTTGACACTGTCACTTACCCAGCAAATGACACTCTGCTCTTGGTGATAGGACTAGGAGCTGGAAGTGAGGGTTCTGGGCTCACATTGCCTTCACCACCATCTTGACTCATAAATCTGGCATAAAAGATTTAACAAAAAATATTACAGTTATTAATCAAGTATACCATAATAACCTAAAACTTACTGGTTAATCTTATGATTATTATGAGTGGTACTCATATAATCTGTAATATAGGACCTTCTTTAAAAAAACATCTTATATTAATAGAGTACTTAATTCATTTGATTAGCTCTGGGTCACAAAACATTAAGGACATTAACATTGGGAGATTAAGAAAGTTGATTATTGAAATCTTGATTACTTTATTGCACAGCTTCACTTTGATATCTTCCAGACAGTAAAATATATTCAATTTATCTTTAGCTTAAAATCAAGTAATATTTCAAAAGCATCTGAGAGACAAGCACCACATAAAAAGCTTCACTCCACGAGGCTCAGCTTACCCAGTAAGCTCCACATCTTCAGCGAGTTCCTCATCTGTCTCTCCGTCGCTGGACGAGTCGTCAGGGTTCCAGTTTAACAACCCAAACTGCCTCTGCTTGCGATTCTCCATCTCCTCTTCTTGAAGCTAAAATATTTGTACAATATTTTAGATAGTTAAATATGTTCTCTGTTGTCTATTGTGCACAGTGATAATGAATAAATTCCATAATATTTCTGAAGAGACAGAAAAACTCTTTAAACAATTTATTATAAACTTCTTTAGAAACAAATAACTTTTCTATCAACATCATTGACATAATTCAAATCAATGACTGCAGTCAGGCCTGGGGGGTTGGGGGTTGGGGGTGCTAAAGAACCACCCTTTTTTGTCAGGGAAAGGTCCATTCTGGGAAACATTTGAGGTAAGCACACAAAAGTTTCTCTGCAAAAGATCCACTTTTTTGGAAAAAGAACCCCACTTTTGAAATTGCTGGCTACGCGTCTGGCACTTTATTAAATACTTAAATACTTCAAATACAACAAGATTTAAAAAAGCATTGTCAGCAATACATATACATTGCAATTGCAAAATGGCCCTTGGTTCTTTATTAATTATTTGACAGACCATAACAATAACCTTACATCTCTTAGCACTTTTAGCCCAAAGTTGAAATGAAATAAACTTCTGAACTTTAGATAATTCAATTTTAATCTATAAATCTGGCTGACAAAACATTTTAACAAACCTTCATCTCCTGCTCATATCTCAGCTTTTCAAACAATCCATGCCCCAGCTTCACATTCCTGATCAGATTTCTAGAACAAAGAACAAAGTATTTACTAAATAATTCATAGAGAACATATCAATACTATCTAACTTAGTCTACTTATTGGAAATTGGTCTGCTTATGAACAACATTTTCTCACTGGAGACATTATTGCAACATTTAATTAAATGTCTGGCATAACATCTAATTATGTAAAATGCACTCCTTTTAGTTTCATAGAACATTTTCTCAAATATGTTTTCCTTTAGATTATAGTATTATATAATTGTCTTCAGAGAGGAATGTTCAGAAACCTACTACGGACCTCTGAGTGAAAAAAAAAAAAAATTCAAGTCTGACGTTGCCTGACTCTTCATTGCTTAACTACCAGCAGATAAAAAAATGATGGTACAAAATCATGAACTTAAAACCTTAACAACAATAATCAATACATTTCAAATATTCACACAAAATTTTCTGTATCTGAAAAAGCCAAGTGTCATTCCAACCAGAAAAAAATAACTGGATATATATATATATATATATAACATTTTAGTTTGACTTATTAAGGTAAAATTAGTGCAACATATTTTTTTTCTTTTTCTACAGCCACTTTATAAGCCAGAAATATTTATTTTGCAAAAGAAGTGCTAAGTTCAGCCCAAACACCTTTGTGGTAATATAAAAAAAAAGGCTTCTTTGACGTATGTTCTATTTTTCTTCACAAATCGTTCATTTAACTACATCATATTAAAATTACATGATAAGTGCTCACAAGTCACCTATTGTATAACCTCCATTAAAAAAACTAAAAAAAAAAACTAAATGTTTGTTTTCACAAAAGCTTTGGCACATTTAACAGGTTATCAAAATATGCTCTCATATATTTGATTGTAAACATTAAATGCACCATATATTGTTTGAAATGAACTTTTAAAAAATTGCCTCGAAGCCCTTTGAGTTGTATGACGTCCATTAAAGAAAAACCCTAAAAATCCACTCTTTTGTTCAAATATTCACTCAAAAGAGATGTTTGCTCAAATGATTACCTCTGCGTCACTAAATATAAAAGACATCGATCTAGACTAAACAGTTATGGTAAAAAGCAACTATGCTTTAAGGACTTACTTAAATTCTAAAAACAAATATTGTGCATTGTGCATTATCCAGCCCTTACTAATGGGAGGCAAATATTTGCTTTTGGAAATGAAATATCAGGTTGTGGTTCTAGCAGTGCTGGTGTGCAAGCTTATATCACAGTGTTTTGTATTTACCAAAATAATCAGATATAAGCCACAATAATTGTTAATGTGGACTGTTTTCCTTTTTTTAAAGTCTATCTCTATGTCTCCATCCTCATTTTCTTCTCTCTCTCTCTCTCTCTCTCTCTCTCTCTCTCTGAGATTTTCTCTCTTTCTTTTTCTCTCTCTGATATTAATTCTCTCTCTCATTGAGATTTTCTCTCTCTTTTTCTCTTTCTCTTTCTGAGATTTTCTCTCTCTCTCTTTCTCTCTGAGATTCTCTCTCCTTCTCTCCTTCTCTCTCTCTCTCTCTCTCATTTCCTCACCTGCCGTGAGCCACTTCCTTGTGCAGGTTATTTAAATCTTTTCTCGTTCTTCTTAACACAAACTTTGCTGGAGTCTGAAAATGAAGGGAAAAATAAATTTAAAAGTCAGAAAAAGTCACCAAAATGTAAAGAAAGATGCCGTAGCAGGTTAAAAGAACGAGATCTATATTGATTAACTTCTATACAAGGAAAACAATGTTTTTTTCTCTGAAGCAAGTAGCAGGTTTTGGTAGAAATTATAGTTATCTTTGTATTACTGTACTTAATATTCACAATAAAAATTCATACAGTGCTGAATAAAAGTGAACATTAAACCCAAATGAAGCAGTCTAACACCCCACTTCCATAGATTAGATCGACCTACTTTGGATCGACCTAACTCCCTGGGGGTTCGCGCTGAATAGCTGTCAGCCGGGCGGACACGAAAGTTAATTGCCCCTTACGGCTTGTAGTTGGCGGGGACGGACACTTAAAGGGGATTATCTGACGGTAGTCTGGTGAGACTCCCCGCGGTGATAGATCGATCTAAAGTTGTGGGAATAGACCCTAAGAAGTAGGAGAAAGGGGGGGGGGGTCGGTATGTCACCCTCAGTTCAAAGTCAGTCAGAACGGCAGTTATAAAGACGTCTTTATTTTGATGTGCCTCGATGCAGAAGAATTCACCCAAGCAGCAACAGTGTAACTTTTCACTTCAGAATTCACAAATGATCCAGTCGGTAAACAATTAACAATTCCTTTCAACATCTCAGCAGTGCAGTAACCTCGTATTGAGAGCACAAACCAGACACTTATATCACGATTCTCTGCTGTTGGGGGGTAAACAAATAATATAAATCAATAAAGAATGGAAAATGAAATATCAAGTATACCGGCCTCTTATGTACTATATACTAGTAGATGTTTTTGTCTATAACCCATGGATTTCATATGACAAATCTATGCTAATTCTCCTTGTTGTCACCGTCTGCTTTTTAATTCTTTTTAATTAAAAAAAATCTATACTTTTTATTGCACTAACTGGAGGAACCAAATTATGCACTTTAAATACCAATAGCATTACTAAACCATGCCAATGATGCTTCACATGGAAAAATGCAATTTACCAACCCAGCCAAGACTGGCGAAGTTTTTAATTTAATATTCACATATTTAGCAAGCAAATTTTATGGAGTTGCTTTCAACCAGTCATAAGATGTCACCACCTTTCTTGTACCATTAACCCATCTCAGTCTTAACAAAGTGTATTGTGAAAGTATGCTACCATGTCCTCAAAACTACTTTTTTTTATCTAAATAACAACTTTGTTTCTAGACTGTGCTGTAAGTGACAATCTCTGTTATTGCTACTTTCAAGGGAAAATGGAAGTCTGCAGTGACTATGAATCCAATGCCAGAATATCAGGTACAATGAAAATATTCTTTTCAAATCACATTTATAAGACTGGTCTATAATTTATTATCCATCCAGACAGATCAGTAAACAGTGGCAATATGTGAAAATTAATTAACAAAAGTTACTGGTTTCTGCTTTCCACTGAATCTGAAACCCATAAAACCCAATAAAATCTGTATCCAATGTTAAACTCAGTGTTAGAAATTAAGGCTGGACCGTCTGCCCAGTGCCGACAACTTTCAAGACGGGCTGATAAGTTTTCCCACCCGTCAGACATTCAATTCAGCTCTTTTCAAGATGGCTGGACTTTCGGTCCAGCAACTAATTTTCCTAAGAGGCAAACACTGGTTAAACGTATTGTTTTTCTTTCTTTTTTTTTTCATTTTTCATTAATAGAACTCACCATAGGTCTGAGAGACTGGGTTTGCTGGCCCTCCTCCTCGCTATCCTCTTCCTCCTCGCTGGACGAGTCCTCATCATCACTCTGAAAAGACGGAAACCCAAACATTTAACAGTTATTATTTATCAATACTACCAGTCATCTTGGGTCTTTTCTATATAATAAAACAAAACTTCAGTCAGCAAATTGGTCTGTACTTTTAGATGAAAAAGGGTCACATTTAGTTCTACATATATACATACAGTCCACTCATTGGTAAATTACTGGTTAAGACTTAGAATTTATTAGCCTAAAGCAATAGGCCCTTAAGGCCGCCCTTTTATTTGTAAAACAGGACTGCTTCAATATTAAATTTAATAAGACTTCTCTAGATTTACCTTAGATCAATGAGATTTTTATTTATTATTATTATTTTTTTTTTTTTATTATTATTATTATTTTTTTTTTTTTTTTTTTTGCTATATTAAGGTCTTTAAATCCTTGTGCACATCTTCTATCAATCATTGACCATAATTCCTAAGATTTGGTTGCAGACTCAAAATTTGACTTTGCAATTGCAACATAGGCAAGCAGTTCATTTTTAACTAAATAGCATCTAGCAGATATCATCTTGGGCAAATCCATGAATTATTCTCAGACTGTTACTTTCACTGGTTTGCAATTTAAATTGGACATCTCCAGCACTGACTAATCTCCCCCTAAACACCATGTCCATTTTCACATATATATGTATATTATGTAACCTATACGCTTGATCCCTTATTCACAAACCAATTACCCATTCATATCAATACAAGATGTTTATCGCAACCATCAGCAATAAAGCTCTGGACTGTACGCAGCTGTATTGATTTCAATCTCAGGTACGTACTGCTAATAACGGTCACTTTCACTGAGAGGATACCGCATTGATTATTGCACCGTCACGCAACGCGGTGCGCAAAATGCAGCTAATAAACACAGTTGGAGCTAGAGTCAAGGAGAAAATGACGGCTATTCAGGCTTCTGCAGCACGCACAGGAAAATCTCTCAAAAGCTTTTAGTCTTGTATAAAAACATCACTACCTCAGTTGCTACCGACTGTACATATTAGCATTTTATATTTTAAGCCTATTTTCTTTCCTGAGATTTACCTCATCTTACAGAAAAATTATTATCTGAGAAATGGAGAAAAAATCAAAATGACAGACAAAAAACAGTGTTAATATGAAATCTAAAATTGGGGTGCGAGACAAAGAAAATTTAGTCTACATTAGATTCATACATGTATCAAAGGTAAACTGTCTGCATTTAATTTTCAAAAGTCATATTTATTAACATCTACATTCCTGCAAGACTAATCATCTCTTCCACTTCAGACTTTAAAAGTGATATAACCCCTCAAATAAAAATTACATTAAGCATCTGATGTTGATATTTCCTACTGAAACATACAGGGAGACATGGCAGTCAATCTTACAGGATCAAAACAATTATTTATATAAATAAATAATTTAATTTCAACTGGTATAAAACATCAAATCCTAGTGCAAGGACAGGTAGAGCAATGATTAACTGGCAGGAGAAAAATTGCTTTGTTTTTCAAACCATTCTTCACTGAAAATTCAACTTGTCGTGAAAATCCTCGATTAAAATGCCTGTTTTTAACATCAAATTTTCTCCCGGACAAGGGTTTTCCCAGCTATAACCATCTAGCCGTCATTTGGATGACCACTATATCACTGGACGGCCTATATATTTTCAAAGACAGCTGGATGGCTTATGGATTTTTTGAAAATATGACGGCTTTAGGCATTCATTGACTCCATGAAAATATGTACTCGTAGGTAGTTACAGGTGGTAATTTTGGGCAGCCTGTACCCCCAAACTATAAAAACCCCTGCTCCTGAATATAACCTACCTCATTCCACTGGCCTAGAGCTGTCAGTATAAGCCTTTTGTTGGACAGATAAATCTCTCCGCCAATGTTCTGATACGGTTTATAGTTCACAGAGCGAAAGCCCTGTTGTGTGAGTTGGCGTATGCGCCTGTTGTAATTTTCCTCGCGTACATTTTGACGTGTGGGGAAGGTGGGATTGTAGACCTCAGCGCTTCGGGCTTGGATTTTTATTCCCTTCTGACTGAGGATGGGGGGAGCTTCTCGGCGGATATACGTCCGGGGATCGTCCCTTCCTTTAGGCATATTGCTCACGACAATTTATTCTGTTTACTGAAACAGAAAATAAAATTATCTTCAGAACTACATATATGAACTGTATATATAGTGAGAGACATTCATTAATTGGCAGATCTGAGACGTGTGTGTGTGTGTGTGTGTGTGTGAGAGTTTGTCCCTGGATCCACTAGTATAGATCATATTATATTGCTGCATCCAGTTCCCATTAGGGGACATTAACATGTAGACTTTGACATCCTATTTTTGTGCTCTTCTTACTAGATTAATTAAACTAGAGTCTACAAGGTAGAAGAAAAGTAAATAGTATAAGACATGTTGTTACATTACATCTCAGTCTTTCTATGATGATACTGAGATATGTGTATAAAACTTAGCCCAGTAAGAATAATCTATTCGGTACTTTTGTAGTATACCCCCCCACCCTGTAACTTTCTGTAACTTTCACCTTTCAAACAGTTTTTTACATTTTCTTGTTCAGCTATGTCAAAGCTGTTGAAATAAAATGCTTTTGTAATTACCTGTGGACTTTTCATTAGTTTTAATCACGTTTAATCCAGCCCATTGAAATACAATGTTAGAATCTTCAATTTACACCCGCAGTCAATAACTTGCCGCGTTTTCGTTGGCTACCTCTAAGGTAATTTTATGTGAACAAGTAGCTCATAATAATTTCACAGAGGAAGTCCAAGTATACAATATATCAATCTTATGTTCACATAAAATAAGTTAGAGTTAGCCAACGAAAACGCTGCAAGTTATTGACTGCAGATACATTGTAAATTTTCACATTGTATTTCAATGGGGTGGATTAAACGTGCTTAAAACTAATAAAAAGTCCACAGGTAATTACAAAAACGTTTTATTTCAACAGCTTTGACATAGGTGAAAAAGACAAAGTAAAAAAATGTTTGAAAAATGAAAGTTTCAGGAAGTTACAGGGTGGGGGGGTATACTACAAAAGATCATGTTTGTGCCGCGAACCTTTTACTTGTAATACAGTTGTGGATATATTAACACGTCCGTCAAACTTTAAACACATTTAGGGCAGCCACACGGACAAGTCGTAAGTGCCGAAATGGGCTGACTATTTTCTAGTATTTATACCTAAAGATGTAGTTACGTGAGATAGGCACGCTTACTACTATTACTACATGTAGTCCCCATGTTAATATCAGTAACTTGCGTTACGAGAGAGAGAGAGAGAGAGAAAGAGAGAGAGAGAGATTATCATAAACTTATCTTGCCGTTAAACACTTACCCTTGTCATTTTTGGGTCTATATAATCCATAGGTAAGTAAAATCGCAAGACGCAACTTCTACTCTACTGATATCAACGTAAGCTTACGCGAGCTGCCATTGCTTTCTATGCTCTTCCAATCAACTAGCAAAACCCCCATCAATTTAAAAATCATTCATCTATTTTTTACTCCATTAAAATGTAATCTGATGCCAAAGAGACACTCAAAATTGCTTTTAGTACATATTAGACATTGCAAAAATGTAATGTTTGCGGAAGGTAAAGTCAACAATGAAAAATTTAAACGTGCAGAGGGGGTAACCCATTTACTGTAACAGCGCGTAAATAAACCATGACGTCGCATAGCTACCAGGTGACCCCAGTGCAAAACACTTGATTGTGTCAGCACAGAGTGCGCGTTGTTTCGGGGGAGGGGGTGTCTGTTGTACAAGTTTTACTGATTTGCTGAGCAAACTAAAATTTAGTAAACTGCTTAAATTTAGAGTAGACAGTTTGGAGAAGATATTCAGAGACATTTAAATGACGTAGTACCTCTGTACATGCTGGATCTACCATTTTTAAAGTCCCGCGACCGCTCTGGCTACTTTTGTGAAGCACGCTCTTCCGGGCGGTGTCTTATATAGTTACAAATAATTTGTATTTACACACTGTCACTATTTTTAAAGCAATCTCCAGGTTAAAATCGCTTGTTTTAATGCGATATTTCAATGTAAACAGAACGCGTTCTTTTTATTTTCAAATGTGAGGTTCATGTCACATTTAGGCCCTAGCTCCTATGGGCCTAATTTTTTTTTTTTTTTTTTTTTTTAGCCAGATGCCATTTCTTATAGGGCCTATCTCCTTGATAAAAAATGTGATGTATGACGTGGTTGATAGCTTTCAAACGATCTCTAATTTTACTTTTGAAGTTAGAAATTTTATAGGCCCTACTTTATCTCTCTGCACGTCTACCGGGGACACATGAAGGCCTATCTGGGTTGCGCTGTCTCTTAAATTATTTTCACCTATTCATACAATAGCTGACCTACACAAAGGCGGATCCAGCTTTATTGCTGACAGTCTTCTAAATTATATTCTATTGTTGATCCAACCTCCATTTTTGGCCGTTTCGACAGAAAAAAATTATAGCCTACCCGTCAATGAAGCTTAAACTTAAAAAATTGCGATCACCTTCCGGAAATACAGTAGACGGCTACAGTTTTGGAATTTAGAGCATGTTTTACAATGTTGTAAAATTGGTACTTGAAAAATTTGAGAAAAAATACTATTGAAGATTATTGTTCCACAAAGCGTCCGATGGATGACGTGAAAGTGACACCCCGGTGGCGACTGTTGTGACAACAGGCAGTGTCCAAAAGTGCGTCTGGGAGAGTTTTGTAGATCACAGAATGTGGTAGAGAAGACGACACATTCAACGTTCCCACCGCCACCAATGCAGAGAAAATACAGTGGAGAGCAGTCATACAAAATACGGCGAACTTATCAGAAAAAAAATATGCATTTGTACAAATAGAATAAGATACAAAGCAATGAGATAACGTGAAAAACAAATTAAATAGAAGGCCGACATCAAAGGCGTCAGGGTCACAAATGGGCTTATATACCGGAAGTAATCGCCATGAAAAAATATTTTAAAATTTATAAAAAATGAAAGCCATGTAGTTAAGATAAAATTTTCATTAATGTATTTCGTTCCATTTCAGATAGGCTTACAGCTTAGGCCCTACCTGTTACGTGTTATCGTCGGTTCACGCCACAGAGGCAAAGCAATTATGATAGTTCTTTTTAAAGAAACTATTTCATTTGCACTAAAATTTCAGGTTTTATTTAGTAAAAATGCACTTTGAATTCAAAGCCATCATAATGCTTCTTATTAACACCATTTTATGTCAATGTGCAGGTAAATAAAAGTTGAGCAGTTTTAAAATTACGACAATTGGCAAAGGTTTTCTTTTCTTTCCGCCCCCCCACCTTTTTTTTTTTTTTAGTATTTTCAGCATTGCGTATGTTTCTGCACACATTTAGTCTACATGTAGTTAGTGCCATTGACATTATCTAAAATAGTTTATATTCAGTCGTCCATCTTTTTCATTTTCTATTTATTTTTATGCTTACTTTCTTTATTCTCTTGGGACTCACGTGAGAGTAATAACACCTATTGATCAATCAATTAAGAGGGGATCGGAAGCAGTATTGTGCTTTTATGATCTCTTATTCAGATAAAGAGTAAAAAAAGTTTATTGTCTTCTGAACTATATATAGAAAGACATGCATTGTTTGTGTGTGTGCGTGTGCGTGTGTGTGCGTGTGCGTGTGTGTGTGTGTGTAGGCCTAAATACCCTAAGCCCAATTGCATTATTTGAAGGTTGTCTGGTAAGACGTTAAAGAGCACAATGGGACGAATTTAGTTTTAGAAAGCCCCTATGAAATGGGAATCATCAAGAAACATTCAAATGTGTAAAATCTGATGCGCTTTTAGGCCCGTGACCGGGGGGGGGGTGGGGGGTGGTGGGGGGGGGGTTCGAAAGAACCACCCTTTTTGCTGGGAAAATGTCCACTCTGGGTAAAATTTGAACTATGTATTTTATGGTAAAATGTCCACTTTTTCAGAAAACGACCCTCCCCCCACCTCTGAAATTGCTAGCTACGGGCCTGGCTTTCCATTCAAGCAATTGTGACGAGGTGAGTTTTGAGGAAAAAAACATACTTGGCAAATAAATCCGCCGAGAATGTTCCTTTTTTTTTCGGCTGAACGCTGTTTACAGGCGGTATAACTTGGGCCTATAGCTGGGAAGCTACGGAATCAACATCAAGATTGCTCGCTTTTATTGAGTACCCGGAACGATCCATTTTCAGATGATTTCAGATGTTTTTACTTTCATTTTGTTTTACAATGACACTACGTTGAGTTCACACTTCAATGGCGGTTTTTTTTAGTTTTGAGTATGACTTTGTTTTCAGCTGAGATTATCTTTGGCAACATCTAACATGACGTTAAAGAGCACAATGGCACTCATTTAGTTTTAGAAAGCCCTTAAGAAATGGGAATCATTAAGAAAAGTTCAAATGTGTTACAGCTGGTGCGCTTTCGAATCAAGCAATTTCGACGATGTGAATTTTGATAAAAAGCATATTTGGCAGATAATTAATCCGACAACATTTCTTTTTTTTTCCTGCTGAACACGGTATACAGGCAGTATAACTTGGTCTTATAGCTGGAAGGCAATGATTCAATATCAAGTTTGCTCGCTTTTATTGATAGGAGTACCTGGAACCTTCCATTTTCAGATGATTTCGGATCTATAAGTATTTGACGGGCATTCTCGATTGTGTTTTGAACGTTTAGTTTTTTAAGTCGGATGATGATCCTTAAGGATAACAGCGTGTAGAGCAGGATGCTACCCTCTATCGGAAGGAGCAATGGCGCTCAAGAACTTCATGTACACGATGTTGAGGATTCTCCCTCACGGGGTTTTGTTTTACATATAAACGTGACAAAAAATTAAGATTTACAGATTCTAACTAGTCTTTTGTATCCAAAGGCATTCAGACGGTTTTTTAGTCTTAAATCGCGGATATAGGCCTACTATCAAAAAGGACTATTTTTTTCAGTGGAGCAAAGTTTGTTAATAGCTTAATTTGTGCACATGTGCTTATTAATTAAAAAAAGGCAGATGTCGTTGATCTTATGATAGTCTTCACCACAATACACAATGTAAAATTGAAAATAATGTACATGAAATGAGCA